TGAAAAAAAAAAATACTTTTCAATTTTCAAAATATGGCAAATTGGTACAAATGTTGGCGAAAAGTAAATGAGAAAATGTTTCTATTGATTTGCCTAAAAGCTTTGCATTAACATCTTTTTATCTACGCAAGTAGATATTTCTTCCTTCTTTTTTCGTTTAGAGCTACATATATGGGCAAATCTAAAAAAAACTGGTACTTTCTTGCTATTTCTAGTGCCTTTTCCAGCCTATTTGGTTATTTTATTTTGCTTTTTTATATAGGTTTTTAGGTCCTAAAAATCCGTTCCCCGGTTATGACATAATTAATTTTTCACCTCTTAAAAATTACATAAAAAATTCACTTGTTTTTAATATTTTTTTAATAAAAACATCTACATATAATTTAAAAGTTTTGCAACAAATTGATCAAACATTTTTTTTTTTGAGGCTTCAAGTATACCTCTATGAATTATATCCGAAAGTAACCAGCTTGATATAGTTTGCAACAATGAAAATAAAGCTTATACAAAGGTTACCTGTTTTTTTTTTTAGATTTGCCCAGCATACATAGTACATACATACCTTATTCTGCCATTATCATTTTCTATCTAGTTTGCGCCAAAATGGTAAATTTTGCGTGGCTGTGTCAACACAAATAAATTAACGCTTGAACGACTTGGTAAATAATTTCGTGTTTATTTTGCTGGCCTTGCTGCGCGGACCATTCAAAGTGAATGCCTGGCCAAATATTGTCTGGCAGAGCACGTGGCTAAACATCAATAATCAAATCCATTCGGTGCGGCATATTTTCCTAAGGGTGAAGCCAAGTACCCGAACAGTTTACATATCAATATAAATGCATAAGTTATTAGTAAAAACAGTTATTTTTAAAGCAAACTTTCTAAATATGTACCAAATTGGACCATAAATACTGGTTTACCAAATATGTCGACTCGTGCGCCAGCTATCGGCAAAACTTTTAGTGGATCCTAAATATGAACCAAATCGGACTAACGGGTTTTTCGAAATATCTCGACTCCTGCGCCACCTATGGGATTAACTCATCTTTCGTATTGCATTGTCGTCGGGTTCTGATCCATCAGTGAAGTTTCAAGTCTTTAGGTCATCGGAAAGTCGGAAGGGTCAAAAATTGACTGCAAGATTTGCTCATCGAATTACAACTCCCCACATTGTTTTAATGCAAAAAAATTTATACTTACCGACCCTTTTGGCATTTCAATGACGATTTTAGTTAAGGCCTTTTGCATTTCAGGTGACAATATATTTCGTGATCTGGGGATCGGCTTACGTTTTTTGAGCTAATTTTTCTTTGTTTTCAAATAAACAAATCCAACATAATGCCAATTTTAGTTCTGAAAACGGTAAAATACATCGTCTGCTAGAACATTATGCAAATGTACATAATATTAGCATTTATGATCAAAAAGTCGTTCATAACCAGAGCTCCAGGCCACTCCATAAGGCGGTGTGGTTCGGTTCGACGGTCCGAACTATTTAGGAAAAACATCTGCCGGTGCATCAACCGTTTTGAGAAGACCTATGAACCGTGATTCCTTTCTACTCGATTTTGGTTCAAGAAGTTCAATTGTCACCTTATAATCAATTGAGTGCTTGGAAAAGCTTCTTTTCGATACCTTTTTTCGATATCGAGAACTAAGTACCCTTTCGGTAGAGAATGCTAAAATTCTCGGCAGTTTCTCTAATCGTCGTCTAACCTGCTGCCTTAGACAAACACATTAGAATTCGAATCGTTCTCTAACCTAAATATTTGTTGCTGTCGCAATTGGCATTTCTATTGCCACTTTGTTTGTGTTTTTTGAGTGCCGTCAATTCGTTATGCGTTTTTATTTGAAAGGTTTTATTGTTACCAACTTGATTGGCTGGTCGATGGCGGCTCCTCCGTGCTCTATTTGTTTCACAAATAATTAATGTATTAGCTATTGTTGTCCCTCTTTCATATCTTTCACTAGATTTTATGATTTCCTCAAACCGACTTGGTTACAGTCCAAATATTTTAACTACGCAGTTAAATATTTAAAATATTTGTTTGTATATTTTTGTAGTTGTACAAATACTTTCCATCTACGTCAGACCCACTACTTAGATTATACGCTGCTGATTACACCTCGATGGCGCTCTACAATAACGGTACAACTCAAACTATAACAATTTTTAGTGAAGCTAGTTAAAGTTGTCGCGTTTCAAAATTTGCAGTAATTCAGTTGGTAGCTTTCAAATTATGAGTTATCCTTGGAACTGGATTGGTCAAGGATAAGTGACTTGACCTGAATTCGAGAAAGAAATGTTTTAAACATTTGGACTTTAATGTTAACCTTATAGGGAAACCAAAATATGTTCGTCTATAACTTTTTAAATAGCCTAGCTGGCGAGATGGGCATTTCACGTACACATTTCACTCAATTCTTTCTTAAGTCGACTTATGCGGTTATTGCTTATGACCACAGAAAAGCTCTTACTACTGTTAAGTGGCTCATGTCTCTAGTCCGTGTCTAAAATTCATGTCGAATCCTTAATAAAGTAAGTAGTAAAGACTACTTACTACAGCAAGTGGTGAAGAGTAGACACGGATGAGACAAGGATTGGAGACTGGATGAGCCACTTAACAGTAGTAAGAGTTCTTATTTTTTGAATTTTGAATTGTGTCGTTATTGCAGAGGACCAACGATATGTACATAAGTATGTATGTAAAATTTAAAGTTACTTTAATTGGTATTAACTTTATCGCTTTTAACTTTGCCTCACTTTCAATTGTGAAACTTTTTTGCAATTGCGAAAATGGCAATTAGCGGCCGGCCACCACGCTTTCGCCACGACTCTGCTTGTTGCGTTGTTGGCTGTCAATCCATTTCAAGTTGAGCTGAGCTGATTTTGAGTTGAGTTGAGTTCTGTTGAATTGTTTTTTTTTATTGTGACAACTTTTTGCAAGCGTTCAAAAAACTTTTAATTATGTTCAAATGTTTGTGTGTCAGCACGTTGCTGCGTTGCCGCCTACGGGCAAGGTGGGTAAAAATAATTTCCGCCGCATTACTGAAGTTTCCATTCGCAGCGAAGCGTACTATCCCTCAGCATTTTTGAAGGTCAACTGGGCGGTTTCATTGCACCGCTTCACTTTTCATTTGGACAGATTCAACCTTTTTTTGATGCAAATTATCAATTTAAGAGGCGATGACAAAAAGGATATGTGAAAATAAAAGCAACATTGATGCTGTTATGTTAATTAAGGTCATTATATGTATGTAGGTAGTCTTGCAATTTGTGTGTTTTGTTTTATTATAATGTCACAGTAGCACCGCCTTTTTCTGATCTACGCGCTATTCAAATATTTACATAAGTATGTATGTATGTAGTACATGTCTATATGTATGCAGGTACATACATATGTCCATACATACGTACATGAAATGTGTGCGCTAGCATGCGCTCCCAAAAAATGGCCGCGCCCAACCAAGCAAGTTCATACTTCAGCTGCGCCTCCAGCATTTATCACACCACAAAGCTTTGGTCATAAACTATCAGCTTTTATATGTACATAAAATAAGATATCAAACCTGCGCGCAGCAACAACCATAACAAAACAACCAAAAAAAAAAACTACATAACCTTTTCTCTGTAATCTCGCTTTTGACGTCCCGTGATTATGTAATCGCTTTCGCATGCCCTGCCTAACAGCGGGCGGGTGTGTGTGTGTGCATGTGTGAATATTAAGAATTTTGCTGATAAGCTTCTTGTACTTGCCAGCTGGTTAGCGAATAGTCACCGTGTAGCTCGCTCCATATTCGTTCCTTGTAAGCCGCGGCCTTCCAACCGGTGGTGGTGAGTGTTGTCGTCGAGTTTCTCTCAATCGTTTGAAGAAGTGTCTTTGAAGAGTTGAAGAAAACTGAAATTCGATTTGGTCAATGCATATGTATGTAGATACATATGCACATACATACATACCTATGTACATATGTACATTGTATATACTTAACAAATTTGTGACATCAAAAGTGAACTATAACAGGGGAAGGGGCGGACGGCGTTGCTGTTAATTTTGAAACGCTTTTTGCATTTAATATTTTTAGCCACCGTGTGGATCGGTGGAAATAAAATGCAAGAAATTACATACTAAAAATGATAATCGATTTCTTTGACATTTTTTAAGCTACATACTTACATACATACTATGTACATGATACTTTCACAAATACTTAGTTCGAAATGTACAGTAAAAAGCTTATTTCTCAGCTGACGTGCCTTTTCCAATTATATGCGGCTATAAGTTGTTCACAAGTTTTTTTAGAATAAAAATGAATGCGGCCTAATAATTTCAGTTGTACGCCATATTTCATTTGCACAGTTATTTTTCCTTGTGTACACATTCTTTGAAGTTCCAAAATACCGAGAAATACTGCGCCTCATTGGCCTTCAAATAATTGTGATGGCGCTGTGGTAATGATACTTTTGCACTTCAGGGCTAAGTCAGTTGCTACTGCTGTCTGTCGAAAGTAAATAAGTATGACTGGCGGGGTGGCTTATTTGTTTTAGTCTTACAAATTTTCCGGCTACCTACCGGCTATGCTGTGTCACCCACCGCCCGCAACGCTTACTAAGCGCAAACTTGGCAAATTTGCTGCGGCGTAATTTATTCCGCTGCGCTCGGGATTTCTGCGCTTTCAATTATGAATTTCCAATTAGTTTTGTTTAAATTAATGTGGTTTGTTGGTGCACAATACTTGTTTAACGTAAAGTTAGTTGTTGTTCTTGAGGCTCATGTTGAAAGACGTTTTTGGTTATACATACATAATATGTATTACATATGTACATATGTATGTATGTAAAGTGCGTAAGCTTTGTAGGAGGATAAGCGAACTGGTCTTAAAGAGTTAACGAGTCTCATTTTCGAAACAAAATATTCTCATCCCGAATGCTCTTCATATACATGCATAATTTGCCATCTTCCAAATTCTAATCTACTACATATTTTCATTTATCATTGCAGATAGTCACACTGTGAGCGGCGCATTCAGTTTTAGAAACCCTGCGTTGTAATCTCTCTTGGCGGTTTGATAGGAAAACCCAGCTTCAGTTTTTTTCTTTAAGCTCAGCGTAAGCAGCAAGCAAAACAAAACACATCAAAATGTCTACAGTCGACAAAGAGGAATTGGTCCAAAAGGCAAAGTTGGCCGAACAATCTGAAAGGTGAATTATTCTAGCCATAACATAAATAAGTAAATGGTGTATTTTATTAACAATGATTTTTTATATATATTTTCAGATACGATGATATGGCTCAGGCTATGAAATCAGTCACAGAAACCGGTGTTGAACTGTCAAATGAGGAAAGAAATTTACTCTCCGTTGCATACAAAAATGTTGTTGGTGCCCGCCGGTACGTTGCTTTCTTATTTACTTAGCTTTTATGATTTGATAACTGAAAGATATGTACATATATATGTATGGGAACAGAATTGTGAGTGCGCGCGGTCTGCTTCATAGATTGCTTGTGAATTTTAGCGAATAGAATTAATTAATTAAATAGATATAACGGCGTTAACATGAATTCGTATTTTTAAAACTCCGAGCAATATTTTAGAAGTCTAAGTTTTTAAGTGTAAAGCCATTTGGTATTAATGCTAAGAGAATTGCAGTTTCGCCCTAGTTTCCTAGTTTTGTAGAATAGCTAAAATGTGGCTTATAATGTAATTAAGAATTTAGTAGTACTATATATGTATAAAAGTTGGCTAGTTTTTACAGTATCAAACACTTTTATATTAATGTACGAATCTCACAATTTCTTCTCAGATCATCGTGGAGAGTAATTTCATCAATCGAGCAAAAAACTGAATCCTCCGCCAGAAAACAACAGCTCGCCCGCGAGTACAGAGAACGCGTGGAGAAGGAACTTAGGGAAATTTGTTACGAAGTTTTGGTAAGTTTTTTTTCGGTGTGTATTTTTTTAGATACTGTTTTCATGTTTCAGTCATACAAAATTAGTAGTACTGATTAAAGCACAACGAAAATATATTTCCACACTAATCCATTCGCCTGGAGCTGAAGTACATACTTTGTTTTTGTAGAGTTTCAGAATAATTTAAATGTGATATTATACATATATGCACATATATGTTTGATAAAGGACAGAACCTAATTCCTTAATAGAGTGCGATTAAACAGCGAAATAAACTACACGGACGGCTTTATTAACTTTTGTTTATTTTCCCATGCACTATACAAGCAAGTATTTTTCGTTTTTTTCCGGCTGATGAAGGGTGCAGATAGCGATTTTGTCACATAAAATTTGCTCACTTTCGATACGTGTCAATGAAAATTATGTTTTTTTTTTGCATTTTTTGTGCTCAGGAGTTTTTAATACATGAAATTTTCTTATACAACTTTACCAAACGCCATACAAGCGTTTGATCGAGCTTCAGCATGGCGGCCAGAAAATAAAAATTGCGATTTTTATTAAAATTTCCCTCAAGTGGCCTGTCAAATACGGTCGGTGTTATGCAGAAATTGTGTTTGGCAACACCAAATTAACGGCAGCTTGGCCCAACAAACTCTCTCTCTCTCCTCGAGTTTGTTGGAACAACAATTGCACGCAGTTTGCCAGTGTTATATCTCATTTTGCGGTTTCTCTCCTTACAAATTGCTTATAAGATTTTGATTTATCACTTTTACTTATCATAACTTTTGCACTTCAGCTTTCTTTTTATAAAATTGCAGTCTTTGATTTTAATCTCTAGATTAAAAGTTTTTGTTCAGCAATTTTTTCTCCAACAACTAGGTTTAAATTACACGATGAGTCGCGAAATATATCTAACAACTGATTTCGAAATTTGCCAAAAATCTCCTTAATATGAAGATTTTGGCACTAAACCTAATTTGGTCGAGGATCGAGTTTTACTTTTGTCACATTCTATTTAAAAAAAAAAAACGTGAAAAGAAAATACCAAATAGTAGCGCCAATGGGTCGTTTTAGGTGTTTGTTAGAGAATTGATTGAGCTTTAACACAGTATCTACGAAGACAACTTGTTGAGAATCTAGTAAATGCACCAAACAGGTAAAATTAAAAATAAGACTACCGTTAATTTCTTCACGATCCAATGATCGGATCTGAACTAAAATAGTATGGGACCACCTTTCCGTTAAAAAAGGAATTATAGAAATCGGTTAACGTGGTCCAAAGTTATGCGGTAACATACATAAAAAAAATATATATATTCCGGCCTCCTTTTTTTGAAGTCGGTTAAAAATATATTTTTACTATTAACTTATTTTTTTGGAGTGCTCTTTTTAAATTGTTGTTCAGATTGGATTGTACTTTCTTGGCATATGTAAATAAAAGCTTTTTGAGCTGTGAATGCAAGTAAAACTTCACACCAAGCTGATATGTAAACGTTTCATATAAATTAATAGTCAGCCTTATCATGAATATTTTGGTGAAAAATTTCACCGGCAAAAATTTAGTTCACCGAAACGTTCACTTTATCATGAAGGTGGAATAATTTCGGGTGAACGGCATTTCACACAGAAATTTCGAAGTAGGTAACAGGTGAATACGGTGTACGATAGCGTGGAAATGATTCGAAGTGAGCTACTCGCTTGATGAATATTCAACATACAATAGGAAAACTACTTGGGCGAAATGTAAACGAGTTCACACGAAATGAAAAATAAAACTTTCTGAATATGAACCAAATCGGACCATAAATACGTGTTTTCCAGATACCTCAACTCTTGCGCCATCTATCGGCAAAATTTTTGTCTTGTTATTCCTTTTAATGTAGGTAATACATATATATTACAAACATCAACTAAATCAGACCATAGGCCCAGTGTTTCGAAATAATTCGACCGCAGCACCACCTACCGGCTAAATTTTTTGTGGAATTATTTCCTCGCATGTAGGTGATTATGTATGTATGTGCATATCGTATCCACCAAATTCAATACCACGAATGAGGTGGCACCGAAAAAAATTTATTTCGGCTGCCGTCTCAATGCTTGTCTACTTCACAAATTTATTGTTGAATAACTATAGTAGAAATTCATATTTAGTATCTAGATTCGTTTAGAAAACCATTCAAAAGTTTTGAAGAAAATCTGTTTCTTTGCTCTTTTGAAACATTTTCGAATTATCTTATACGTGGTATTGCATTTGGCCGATGCGGGGTATTGCGCGCCAAGCGACTATGTATTATCAAAGAATAAATTAAGTTAAAATAAATACATATACCAAATTATTTACGTTTTTTTTTTAAGCAAGCAACATTCTTGCAACGGTATTGACATTAACACTAACTCGATTAAATAGAAATAGGCGAATGGGAATGTCAAGCGATAATTAAACAATAGCAAAAACAACATTACTTGTGTATGTATGTATATTCACTCGTCAATTTAAACTAGGCTATAAAAAAGTGGCATAAGTTGAAAGAATGAATGGCGCAGTTGGCTAGCGCCTAACAGCTGGTTTTTCATGTATATATGTATGTATGTATGTACATTCATATGTAGATACAATTGTAAATGTCACACCGTTCTGTGCATCTTCCGCTTACTTACCTTTAGTCCATAGCCCACAAATTGCTGCACCAGCCATTACCTTCTGAAGGCTCCACACCCTGCTGTGTGCGGCTGGCAAGCACTTAGCAAATATTAAAAAAACAAAACCATCATTAAAAGCCTCGGCAATGAAATTCATTGAAGTATTTACATATGTACATATATATGCCTATACATATCCTTAATGCCACACCAAGCATTTTCTTTCTTTATACCGTTTCTGAGCGTTTGAGCAATTGTCTCGTTTGTCATTGCCCCATCGACCTCAAACGTCCTACCTAATATAACTACTTTTCATTAAATTTTACTTTCGATTCCGATAATTTACTATGATTATGATGCCTCTTTGCTTACTCTGCAAGTCTTCTGTGTTAGAATGGTTTAGTGATTAGAATAGAAGTGTTCGTTCGCGGCATATTTGCCAACAGTCTGCTTGCTCGCTTTCAACGCCTCTGCAGCAGCGCTTTTAATAGCACAAATTGAAATTCAATCGATACCGATAGAGAAAACGTATATTTTTAAGTGGGTTTGTGCGCATTTAACTTTTCTTGCACCCATAGCTGGTTGCTGGTTGCTGGTTGCTGGTTGCTATTGTTTCCATCTCTTTCACTTTCCTCTGGCACGCGCATTGTTTGCTGGGCTATTTTATAACCTTTTGTTGTTTGAGTTCGATTCGAAATCGCTTAAACTGTATATGTATCTAGAAATTTGTTCACTCCTTGTCTACTAATGAAATGGAATATAATAAAAATAATCGAGAGCAGTTTTTATAACGCCTTTTCGTTTGATGCGTGCCATGAAATCGCCAGTAATAAATTTTATGTCAAAAAATAATTTTGTAGATATATGTATGTATGCATTAGGTTTTTAACAGCAGCAAATATTAATTTCTCATCTGTGGTATATGCATACATATGTACATACAGTTGTCCACAAAATAATAGGAGTGGGATATTTTAACCTGTTTTGGCTATTTGTCTTTAGTTTATTTAATGTTTCGTATTTTTTTGTAAAAGCCTAGCTGGTAATACAACAAACACCATATAAATTTACATTTTCAAGTTTGTACAAAAATTATAAAAATTCTGCAAATTTTCACCAAAATTTCAAACTATTTAACCAGAATCTTTAGAAAATATGTTGGTATGCAGTTTTGTAGCCCATTCAATTCTAGTCTGAAGAAGTGCAAGTTTCAAGCTGCTAAAAAATTCCGTTGATTTTTGAGAATTTTTTCGGTTGAAGGTGTTTCACGTTTTTTCCATACAAAGTATGTTCGACAATTTTCTTTTATATGGGGACAGTGCCAGCAAAAAAAATTGCCAAAAATCAACGGAATTTTTTAGCAGCTTGAAACTTGCACTTCTTCAGACTAGAATTGAATGGGCTATAAAACTGCATACCAGAATTTTCTCTGAAGATTCTGATTAAAAAGTTTGATATTTTGGTGAAAATTTACAGAATTTTAATAATTTTTGTACAAAGGTTGAAATCTGAATTTATTCGTTGTTTGTTGTATACCCAGCTTGACTTTTGTATAAAAATAATAAACATTAAATAAACAAAAGACAAATAGCAAAAACTGACCAAAATAACGCACTCCTATTATTTTGTGGACCACTGTACATACATATATAGTATGTACATTAGACCAAGTCAAAAAGAAAAAAATCCTGCAATGTGACCAGAATAAGACTCAAATTTTAGCATTTGGTACAGTAATGCTCCTCCATGAATCTCCCCTCTCTAGGACAATTGTAAGAGGTTCCGCGTCGTCGAGCCTTTAGTTTTCCCATACGAATCCGTAAGGAGAAAGTTTCCATCGGCTCCAGATTTGGACAAAAATGAGGTCAAAATGTAAAAAAATCGGGTTTTTTGCAATTTTGAATTTTGAGAAGATTTAGCAAACAAAAAAACAAAGGGTGATAGAACCTTCCACTTAAGCTTTATTTAAAGTTTGGGCTTCCGACTACAATCCTTGAAAATACTATCCCTACATCTAAGGTCACTTTTAGTAATTTATTGAATAGCAAAAACTGATTTTGGCACAATTACAATAACAATAAGCGACCATCAGGTCAAGGATTTTTATACCCGAGCGCACTTATGCACAAGGGTAAATATTTTAACTTTGTTCGCATAACGGTTGTTTGTACTAGCCAAAGCGAATCGATATAGATATAGACAAATGCATACATAAATGCTCAGAATGAGAAGAGAAATCCTTTAAGCCATGTCTGTCCGTCCGTCTGTCCGTGTACACGATAATTTGAGCAAAAATTGAGATATGCCAATAACGAAATTTGGTAAGTAGGTTGCCCTTTATCCAAACGAATGTCAAAACTGTCTACCTTTGGCTGATGAATGATGAGATGAACAATTACCAGAAGCGATCAGATACAGATAACAAATCAATCAAGCACCAGAGGTAATAAGTGACATAGAACGTTTTGCAG